AAATCGCCGTGATTGGGAACAAACGTGATCGAATCACGAGTGATTCACAAGTAACAGTTCACACCATCTCTAGCGGCAACCCAAATTGCGGCTGATTTCGATTGCGTTTACACCACTGAATGGTCATCATTTTCCTTCGGCACGCATTAGATTCGAAGTTTAAAGAATCTACATTAGTACTTTCTAGCGGCTGGGTACCAGTAATTACAAGAACATTGTTAAAATCACATTTATTTGCACCGGTTGACACTGTATCTCGTCCTGCGTACCCCGGTTAGTTCACTTTGAATAGCTCTTCCACGGTTATGTGGACAGGTTACGTCTTCATCAAGCATTGAGATTGAAGCTGAAAGAACGTAGATTAATCTCCTGTCATTGAAAATAACAATAAACAACCAGAACACTGTTAAAATCGCATTTAATTGCGGAATACCACTATTTTTTCGACCGGTGGCGCCATCCGTGGTGAATCACTGAAACTGCTAGCCATATAATTGGTTAGCAGTTTCACCGATTCGCCACGGATGGCGCCACCAGTCAAAAAATAGTGGTATTCCGCCATTAAATGCCATTTTGACAGTGTTCTGGTTGTTTATTGTTATTATCAATAACAGTGGATTAATCTACGCACTTTCAGCTACAAGATGGGTGCTTCAGCTAAGCGAAAGCTGTCCGTATAATGGTGTACGAGCTGTCCAAAGTGAACTAACCGGGGTACGCATGACGAGATACTGTGTCAACCGTTGCAAACAAACGTGATTTTAACATTGTTCTTGTAATTACTGGTTTCCAACCGTTAGAGAATAGTAATCTACGTTCTTTAAACGTTGTGTCTAATGCAAAACGAAGAAGAATCATGCCCATTTAGCGGTGTAAATGAGATCGTAATATTTTGCAACGACGGTAGTCGCCTCATAAGAGGCTACGGTAATACAGGCATAACTAATTTTACTAATTCAGGGTTTCTGCACTATTGGGTCGATGCATTAAGTCCTGAGGAACAATTTGAGACTAACGACGTTCATATTCAGTGCTTATTTACTGAGATATTTGCATTTTTCCATGACTAGAAATTTTCACTCACCTGTCGGTATAATTTGGTTAGCAGTTTGAGCGAATTGCCACGGGTGGCGCCACCGGTCGAAAAAATAGTGGTATTCCGCATTTAATTGCGATTTTAACAGTGTTCTGGTCGTTTATTGCTATTTTCAATGACAGGGGATTAATCTACGTTCTTTCAGCTACAAGTTGAGTACGTGTCCAAGACGAAGCAGCCGTTATAGGATAGTATTCTACATTCTTTAAACTTCGAATGTAATGCATGACGAAGAAAAGTGTTGCCTGTTTAGTGGTTATGTGATTGCAACAGATTTCGATCGGATATACACTGCTAAACGAGCATCAGTTTTCCTCGTCATGGATTACAATCGAAGTTTAAAAAACGTAGATTACTATTCTCTAACGGCTGGAGACCAGTAATCGCAAGAACATTGTTAAAATCGCATTTGTTTGCAACGGTTGACACTGTCTCTCGTCATGCGTACCCCGGTTAGTTCACTTTGAATAGCTCTTCCAAGGTTATGTGGACTGGTTACGTTTTGATCAAGCACTCAATTTGTAGCTGAAAGTACGTAGATTAATCCACTGTCATTGAAAATAACAATAAACGGCCGGAACACTGTTAAAATCGCATTTAATCGCGGTGTACCACTAATTTTTCGATCGGTGGCGCCATCCGTGGCGAATCGCTGAAACTGCTAGCCACATAATTGGTTAGCAGTTTCACCGAGTCGCCACGGATGGCGCCACCCTTCAAAAAATAGTGGTACTCCGCGATTAAATGCGATTTTAACAGTGTTCCGGCCGTTTATTGTTATTATCAATAACAGTGGATCAATCTACGTTCTTTTAGCTTCAAACTGAATGCTTGATCAAGACGTAACTTGTGCATAGAACGTTGGAAGGGCTATTGAAAGTGAACTAAACGGGGTACACATGGCGAGATACAATGTCAACCGTTTCAAACAAATGAGATTTTAACAATGTTCTTCTTATTACTGGTACCCAGCGGGTAGAATGTACTTATGTACGTTCTTTAAACTTTAAATCTAATGCTTGACGAGGAAAAATGATGTCCGTTCAGCGGTGTATATGCGATCGAATTCTGTTAGTGTTACCGCTCCATGAGGTAGCTGCGGTATTACATTACAGGCATAATTAATTTTACTGATTCAGGGGTCCTGTACTATTGGGTCCATGCATTAAGTTCTGAGGAACAATTTGAGACTAATGGCGTTCATTTTGAATGCGTAATTACTGAGATATTCGCATTTTTCTAACATTAGGAATTTTCACTCACCTGTCGGTATGATTTGGCTAGCAGTTTGAGCGAATTGCCACGGGTGGCGCCACCGGTCGAAAAAATAGTGGTATTCCGCGATTAAATGCGATTTTAACAGTGTTCTGGTCGTTTATTGTTATTTTTAATGGCAGGGGATTAATCTACGTTCTTTCAGCTACAAATCGAGTGCTTGGTCAAAACAAATGGTCTCCATGAAACGCTGTGAGACGTATCCAAATATGAAGTCAACGAGGAGTTTCCGACGACCTGTATATACGACCTTGGTTCCTAACATGATCTACAAAAATTTAGTGGGATATTAAGCCAAGTTCTACTCAGCAATTATTAATGTCGTTTTTAAGGTGAATACAGATGAAGAAACTGATTCAAGGATATTAGTTTATGTTACACAATGTTTAATAAATTTATTACTGAAGAATTGTGCGTACAGAATGTTGACAATTATTTTAACTGCCAATATATGTGTCTTAGAACTTCCTAAATTTGATTACTTCCAAATTGGATATTTTAGGTTAAAATTTTTAACTCGTAATTGAGAACTGGCTTTAAGGTATGTGCTATCTGTATTCATATTCGTCAGTATTCGGTCGCTTTTCGTCGTCGTGCGTTAACATGTGTGAACACGCGCGTGTAATCTGTCAGCACGTGTAAGGCCAACGTAGCAGAGGATTCACGGAAATTTGTAATGGAAGAACGTGAAAGATTCTAAGCGAAAAGTGTCTTTGAAATACAAATTGAAAGAGGTTTGGTAAACTCTACTGCTCCAAGATGAGTACGATACTGGAAAAGATCGCCTCGATCGAGGCCGAGGTAACCGCTATTTGTGTTCATTAAATTTTCCCGACTATTTTCATTTCTGTATTGGACCTTGCGAAATTGTTTCGTTAACAGATGGCCCGAACTCAAAAAAACAAAGCCACGTCTGGTCATTTAGGTTTGCTGAAGGCAAAACTTGCCAAGCTGAGAAGAGAACTAATAACACCGAAAGGGGGGGGAGGTGGCGGTGAACAGGGATTCGAAGTCGCAAAAACTGGTGATGCTAGAATAGGTTTCGTTGGTACGTATGAGGACTGACGTATTTGCGTATGTGTACGTGATGTGTTTCGTGAAAATTACAGGCTTTCCATCTGTGGGCAAATCTACCTTACTGAGCACGCTTGCTGGTGTATATTCGGAAGTTGCCGCTTATGAATTCACAACCCTTACAACTGTGCCAGGTTGTATAAAGTACAAGGGTGCAAAGATACAGGTATCTACGCTTGGCTTCTTACAAGTATCCCCAATGGAAGAAACATAAAGTCATAATGTCACGTCCATTTTCTTTTTTAGTTACTGGATCTTCCTGGTATTATTGAGGGTGCCAAAGATGGCAAGGGCCGTGGAAGACAAGTCATAGCAGTCGCTAGAACCTGTAGTTTAATATTTATTGTCCTGGATGTTCTGAAACCTCTGGGACACAAGAGGCTGATTGAACACGAATTAGAAGGCTTTGGATTAAGATTGAATAAGCAGCCACCGAATATTAACTTCAGGAAAAAGGACAAAGGTGGCATCAACTTTCAGACTACGGTAATTGAGCAGTAACAAGAAAAATTAAGGGAACTCTGCACAATCCTCTTCTCATGCTGTTTTTTCTTCGCCAGTGTGCGCAATCGGAACTGGACTTGGATATGGTGAAAACTATTCTGTCAGAGTACAGAATCCACAATGCAGACATTACATTGCGGTACGATGCCACGTCCGACGATCTGATCGATGTGATAGAAGGAAACCGTGTTTACGTGCCGTGCATTTATTTGCTCAACAAGATAGGTAAACAGTTTGCTACGATTCGTTGAGAAAAATTTACAGCAACGATTCTAATTCTATTGCATTTGCCCTCAGATCAAATCAGTATCGAAGAGTTAGATGTCATTTACAAAATACCTCACTGCGTACCCATCTCTGCTCACCACAAGTGGAACTTCGATGATCTGCTCGAGAAAATGTGGGATTACCTGCAGTTAGTTAGAATGTAAGTTCTAGAATCGCTAATTTGCGGCTCTTAGACATTGTCAATTCATTAATTTCATTCTACAATGTTATATTCTAGCTATACCAAACCCAAGGGTCAACTTCCGGATTATAATTCCCCTGTGGTTCTGAATAGAGAGAAGAGAACCGTCGAAGACTTCTGCAACAAACTTCACAGATCTATTGCAAAGGAATTCAAATAGTACGTTCGTCTTGTCGACTTTTCCCTGAAAGAGAAATTTATTATAATCTTCTTTGTTATTTTCAGTGCCCTTGTATGGGGATCGTCGGTCAAACATCAGCCTCAGAAAGTGGGAAAGGATCACGTATTAAGCGACGAGGACGTCGTTCAAATTGTCAAGAAAGTCTAATTCCACCTGAAATCCCTCTGATTGAACTTTTACAGTGATTTTATCTTATGTAACTGAGCTTATCAGAGCTTGTAAAACGGTTTCTTCTTTGCTTTTTATTCTAATACGAAAAATAAGGCGCGTCGATATATGTGTAATTAATGTATAAATTTTTTCACTACATCTATATATATGTTACGAGAGATTGAGAACTTACGTACGCGTTTTCTGAATACTGTATCATATTTAAATGATCCGCGCACAAAAAGAACAGTAAAATACACAACTGCTAACAAAGATCGTTCACAAACTTTTTAAAATATATTCCCTCCTTTGTTGATCCACTAACTTTTCCAAATGTTCGCACTTTGATTTAACCTCGCCGAGCTCTTTGGCGAGATTTTTTATCGTCAGGACTTTCTGCGTCATTACTAGCTTTATCCTGAAAAATGGGATACGAATACGAAAGAACAAAATATATCATTTCAATTCATAATTCGTTTAACAAATCGAGAATACTACCTGCTGTGCAGCTGGGCCATAGAAGCCTCCCTGCTCGCGTTATTTTGACCGATCTCATGGTAAAGGGACCCAATTTTTTCCTCCAGTTCTCTCTTCTCCCCTTCGATCTCCTGTCTGGCCAATTTCCTCGCGTTGTCCTTCTCCAGACTCAATCGTTTGATCACCTAACCATTACCAGGTTCTTATTAAAAACCTACCACAGAATATCTTAGCAAAAACTATATACCTCATTCGCACAGTTCAAGTCGTTAGTGCACTGGTGCAACTTTTTCTCCACCTTCTGCAGTTGAGTTTCACTCCTGTCCAGCTTATCCTTCGCCTGCGTCAGCCTGTCCTTGTGCAGCTGTTCATTGTCGACTGCAGTTTGCAACTCCATGTCAAACTTCTCTTTCAAAGACCTGAAATGAATAATCTTTCCTAACGATATCCACCTGGACGACTCCATTCACTACTACCTAAGTTTGCAGTCGAAATTCTGCTGAAGACCCAATCGTGCCTCTCTCGAGTCCTTCTCCAAGCGTTCTATGGCCAGCTCAATCTGTCGATCCCTTTCTTTATTGCTCTCATCCCTGATCTTACTCTCAGCCCTCTCGAACTTCAAGGTCTGTTGCCTTTTATAATCAGCAATCCAGGCTTCCCATTCTGTCTTCAGGGACTCTTGCAAAGTCCTCTTTTCGTTCAACTGATGTTGCTTCAGGGCTTGCATCTCTTCCTGAAAGAAGGTCAAACGTTTCCCTATGATCTTTCCTAGAAGGATCAGATATTAATACTTGGTACTGTTGGTACATCCTCTGCAACTTGGTCTCGATTTCAGCATTCTGCTCCTCTAACTTCTCGTTGTACCTGGATGGGGCAAAAAGATATTTCAGAAGATATATAAAAGAAGGAAAGTACCATCTTCTACCTAGCCCAAAGAATATTCTTCTCGTTAGCCAGCATCCTTTCATGACTAGCGGTCAGTTCCAGCCGCAATTGTTCCAACTGTTGATTCGATCGACGAATCACACGAAGCTCTGCGTCCTGCAGCTCCTTCATATGAGCATTCCTAAGACTTTGCATCTCCTCAGCGTGTTGCTCCATCATGCTCCTTAATTCTGGCTCCAGACCTTTCACGGTCATCTCCTTAAAAACGTTTTAGGATGGTAATTTTAGCATCCTCGAGGTCTTTGAACTGGGTTCAGATTTTCAGACATAGAGGATGCACAAATTATTTGCACTCTTACAATTAGTTCTATACTCAGAACACTTTCTGATCTTTCTAACTCTTTTCTATATGAACGCGTAGAGGTCATATGAAGGTCAACTTTGTTTTCTTAAATGGAATCGTACATTTTTTAATGTACTATTATTATTATTATTATTATTACGCCATAGACCTTGATCTTCGTCGTCCTGGCCTCTACCCATCGTTCCCTTTTGATCTTCTCAGCGGCAGCATAATGTTCCTTGGCCCTCTGTAGCTCCACCAAATGTCTATCAGCGGCTGCTCTAAGGTCCCTCTGCATCTTCATCTCGATGTCCTTTACTCTCTGCGCGAGAGAGTTACATTTTTCGGTCAGGTCGGTTTTCTCCTCGATCAGTTGCTCGATGAACTTCTGATGCCTCTTCACGATGCCCTTGTACTTCTCGTCCTGCGACTGCAGCTTGGACAGGTTGCCACGCCTCTGAGATTCGAGTTTCTCGCAGGCTAGCTGCCTCTCGGATCTCAGTTGCTCCTTCAGTAGCGTTATCGTGGCGTTTTTCTCCTCCAGCTGGAGTCTAGCGGTAGCTAAGTCCTCTTCGAACGCGTGATTTGTGACTTTCATTGGGACTAGGCTGAAAAGATAGAAAAAGAAGAAGAAAAAAAGAAATTTGAAAATTAATTCTTCGATAGGTAGTTTGTCATTCCTACCCGTCGCAGCTGGTATAATTCAACGAATGCGATTTCATGAAAATTTCTTGAAGCACCTCTTGGTCTACTTCCGGTACGCTCGCCCTTGTCTCGTCCAGAGAACCTGCGTCGAATAATCAGTCAGTGGATAACGTAGAAAAAATGAAAGAATACTTTAATATCGATGGGATTACTATATTACTCAGCTACCCTCTTCCAGCTTCGCCAAAAAGGACATTATATCGTCGTAGGTGGTTCTGTTCGATCCTTTTTCCCTCGAATCATCCTTTTCCGGTTTTAACTAGGAAATAGAGGGTATATAAGTTCAGTCGAACGAAAACAATTGGACGAATCGTAATTTCAAACCTGGGGTTCATCGACTTCCGGTAGATCACCAGTGATGTTCTTCTCAAGGATACTGATCATGTCGCAGAGTTGCTCGAAGTATAAATCCGACTCGTCGACGATGTTCTGATTGTGGTCCGCTGTTTTCGCGATCGTTGCGTCATTTTCCATTTTACGGGTAAGTTCCTTCTGCTTTGAATTTACGTCCCTAGCCGGAAGTGGCTTCATCATTGGCGGTTTACTGTGGATCATAGGATGTCTAATGTTGATCATTCCTCTTGTGAAGATCGAACGCATACTGAAGCTACGTGGGGACAATTCACTTTTATTTATCGGACGATTTATGGTCGCCTGGGTGACGGCAGGTGCACGAGCGCGAAACAGGTACGACTCGGGCCACCCCATTTGCGTGACGAATCAGGGGACCATCAGGTCACACACTATGTAATGTACAGGGTAATCTGAGACACGTGTGTCAGCTAAAAAAGCATGAGAATCTAACTTTACGAAAAAGAACAATCCAACTGTGCTGAAGAACAACAATCAAAATTTGCAACCAAAGTTTCTGCAGGAAGCTCTACTCACTGCACGTGGATAACGAAGGAATCTTGAAGAATGGGGTTACCGATAGGACAGCTCGGTGGATAACGAAGGAATCTTGAAGAATGGGGTTACCGATAGGACAGCTCGGTGGATAACGACGTAAACTGTGCATCGAGTGGGTGCCTCCGCGAGGTTGTGCGAAAGAGGTTAGGCGGTAGCAGCACCGTCTGGGACGTACGAGCGCAGGGAAAACAGGGTGGCTGGCGAAGAGATCGTCGTGGGGGCTACGTTCGAGGCAGTGGTCGTCAGTCAGAAGAGAGAGGCGGTTGTGGGGCGAGGTTGTTGCGGGTGAACTCGTGGGGGAGAAGGAGGTGGCGGCGGAGGTGGTGGCCAGAGAGAGAAAGAGCGAACGTATCCGAGGGTGAGGGTGAGGGCGAGGGTGTCTGTACGTACACCGAGAGAGAATCGATCTAAAACTAGGAGTCGCCGCAGTAACCGCTGGGAGGAAGCCACTGTTACAATTTGCCCCCATATGCGCTAGTGGAAAATCTTAGATCGGGTAATTGTACGGGCGAGGGCTGCTGCTCTGCTCGTCCTGGAATATGAGGTGTTCCCGCGAGGAGGTGCTGGTGGCTACCGTTCGGCCAGCCCGTTGATCACCGCGAATTTTGCGGGCCCCAGACGTGTCGCTCCGGTGGTGGTGGTGGTGGTGGTCGTGCTCCATAATAATTCACGGAAACGGTGCCGCGGAAATCGAGGGGAAGCGAGACACCACCGGGGAGAACCGGAGGAGGATAGAGGGAACCATAGGTGACTGGGAGTGAGATCGAAATATAGAGGGAGATAGATAGCAGTGGTGGGTGGTATATAGTACAGGGGGGCTAGAAACTAGAAGAACGACCGATCCCCATAACCTGAAGGAAGGACAGTCCAAAGGAGAAAGAGTCAGAAACGGTGTGTGTTTCGGTGCAAGTTCCACCGAGAACAAGGAGGAGGCCAGCACGAGAGGAAATCAGATAGAGAGAGGGAGGAAGTCACAAGGGTGCAGGAGAGAGAGACAGGCCGAAGGTGGAGGGTGGAGAAGGAGAGAGAGAGAGAGAGAGAGAGAGAGACATCGAGCAAGGGTGGGCGGACAGTAGTGCACGAGAGCATCCCGTCGCCACCGATAATGCGACGTGCAGCTTATTTCCTAGTTCCTTCTGAATAAGTGCTTGCTGGGACGGTCCCTTACCTGCAGGGATATGACGTAATGGCAAGAGAGGTAGGATAATTTTTTTTCCAATTCACGTAATTCCGAGCTAGAACAAAAACCCTGCCAATTTCCTCATCCTAACCCCCCCCCCTTGGACATCCTCCTGGGGAAAAAAATACTATCCTAGATGGTGCGTTTTTGTCGAAGTGTTCGAAAGTACAGTTTTTGGGCAACGTCCACCTAGGGAGCCATGCATCCCCTCCGCTGCAAGGCCACGCATCTACGCGCATTAGCTCGCTGAATCGCTGGTTCTGCCGCATAGACCGGGGTGACAGAGTCTCCTAGACACCCCCCGGGGTTGATCCACATCTCGAGATCCCTGGATCCTCGATCCTCTATACTGGACTCTAATAGCTTGCCTTCAGTTGTGGCCAGCTCCTTGTAGGCCAGGTCACCCTTATAGGTTATGCTGTCTTCCTGGAATGATCCCAAGGGACCAGGCGAACACTGATTCCAATTACCCTCCAGGTGCTTCAGCAATTGTTTACCTAGAGTCCTCAGGAGCATCCAGTTCCCCAGGATTCGCTCAATTAGCGGGGGCCAGAATCCTGGAACCCCATAATGTCTCCTTTTTACGAACCAACCTCTTGGTTCCTTCTGTTTTTTTTTGTTCCTTTCTTCCTCCTTCTCTCGTATTCTTTTCATTTTTCTCCCCTTCGTTTTTTGATCGGTTACCCGAGAATGATTGAATCAGGTCAGTGTTTTCGACCATAAGTTGCGCCCGCGTCTGCGCCCTGGTCCCGTTTTGCGCCTCCCTGTTGAAAACCTAGGGACAACCCAAACACAGTATCCCTCCTGTGTACGCGTTATCGTAATGTCCCGGTGATCCAGAGATCCTCTCTACCTGACCGTGATGATCGATCTATCCCCATGGACCCTGGATCCCTTTAGTCACTTATGGTCCCTTTTGGGGATGGATCCCTCGATCTTTCCACGATCACCACGATCATTTCTGGTGGACTCGGGATAATGTTTTTGGTCCTGGTGCAAACGTTTCACTTTTCCTTCCAGATCACCGTAGATCCTTTCTTACCTCGTGACCTAATCTTCTACGCCCTTTCGCGCCCTTCGACGTCATTGTTGCTTGTTCCTCGAGAAAAAAAATAGCGTACGGAATAAAAAAAATGGGGGGGGGGCACGAAGTGGCGCAAGGATGTATGGGTATTCGATAATAATTCCGCACAAGATGACGAAGGGCCCTTTGTTTATGGTACGTTCTAGTTGCCTGTCGCCCTGTATAAAACACACCAGAGAAGAGTGGGTGGGGGTGGGGGATAAATTACTTGCCTGTTGACCCGGCGCGCGGCAGACACACTCTCTACGGATCGCTTAACATCTAGGCGATAAGCATTCTCGACGGTTTTACGGTTTCTTTACACGCAATTACGTCTACCCTGAGCAGCCATCCATCTGACCACTGTGACACATACACGCACACACAGTTAGGTCTAGCGCTCGTACTCCCGCCACGACACACACCTCCCACTTCACACCCCTTTTCTCGCGACACCTGTCCACCCCTTTCTTTTTACGGAACGCAGGATAATTATCGTCGTTGGCGCGTGATCGCCTCCTTTGCACGCCCCGTCACCCTGGTTAACGCGAATTTGCAACTCGGGGAGACGTGGAGGTCTTCTATTGTTCTGGTCTGAATCCTATTCTCGACGGCGCTGACGAGGATTCTTTCGTTCGATATCGCGTTAGGGGCCCTTCTATGCTAGGTGAAGATGTCGTTATTGGGTCGTGGATGTTGATTAGGATGGAGTTAATCGGATTCGGGTGTCAGTCGGTGATGCTTTAGAAGTATATACTGGGTGGTCTGATAGTTACGAATATCTGAATAAAAAAACTCATGAGTACAGTAATTTTAATTTGAGTGATTCGATGAGTATAAGAAAATAAGTATGTCCCTTTAAAAAATTAAATTTGTTTATTAAATTTTGTGTATGCTAATTGGTACTGTCCATTCAATAAGCGTTATTGTTCTCCTTATATTCTTTTTCAAGCTCTAGTCTATACATTTCTTAATTTACTGTTGGTTTTATCTTGTTCTAAATATACTACTAGGACATACTATACTAAAGCATTTCTCATTATTTTTAAAAACATTTACTGTTGCCATTACGATTATAGTAGTCAGAGGAAGAGTTTCTTGTTGAACATTATCCTCTGAAGTGACCAATAGCTCCCCCAGTCCCATTTATAATGATAAATTGTACGTTGATTAAGACGTACAGACAGCTGGATTAGATACCTGTACTCAATCACGAATTGCAACAGTTGATTTCTGTGCAGGAGTTACGGAGCAAGAGACCTTTTAAGATATGGGACAGCTGGCGTAACGTGAGGAAGGGACTGGTTGTTAGCAATTTCGAGGAACTGATACACAGGGGTAAGGCATTAACTGTTTTCTGCAGTTCTACATTATAATAATTCTCCTCATTTTATACTGTCTCGCATTCACCCTTCTATTTTTAAAAGTTCTATTTACCTTGCTTAAATAGACTAGAAAAATTATAAACCAGAACGTAAGGATACAGAATAAAACCTTTTAATATGAGCCTTCGATGCTGCGCCTGAATGTCTGATCATAACTGGGCACTACCACTTACAAGTGTCTATAAACATTATCAGTGGCACAGTATAATTATTTTCACAATAATCTGATATAAATTAATAGGCAGAAGGCAATAAGATCCACGAAATATAGACTGCACAGTGATCAATGATTATCACAAGTAGAAATAGCAAATCATAAGTCAGCCACTGTATACTATTGAAATTGTATTCGTATTAAAAATACTATACTAGACTTTTCATTCATTTTCTTCTGACTTTTGATACAATAAAAGTTTAGAGACTAAAACAATGACCATCTCGTTTACCAATATTGATGCACAACTAATGAACGTAAACGTTGCATATCTCTTTCTGCTTTCTTAAAGTGAAAACAAAAATAAATAAAATTATTTTACACAATCATCGGTTTATCACAATTACCTTGGGTACTTTTTTGCACCGCAGGCAAGGAAAAACTGGGCGTTCCACAGAACGAGAATGTCTCTCTAGTGCTGGAATCGGACGGTACGCAGGTGGAGGACGGCGAGTACTTCAAAACCTTAGCGAACAACACGATCCTGCTGTTGCTGCGGCATGGTGAACGCTGGTGTCCCACCGGAGTCGACATCATACGCGCCGGTATCTATCGTCTAAAAAACACTCACCACCACTCAAGACGACAATCAGTCCAAGGGACCCTTTGGAGCTTTAAAGCAAATGGCTGGGTTAATCGTGACCCGTAACAGGATCTATCACAAAAGTCATTTGACTTCGTTTCACGAGTAGACAATTAGATGCTTATTTGAGTGGATGGGTCACGAATGACCCAGTCATAGGTACAAGAGAATAACAGTAATATTTACGAATCGTGGGCACGAGATAATAGCAGCGCCGATGGTATCCGCGGTTTCTCCCGTGAATAGAGGACAGTATCGATTCGTACGTACAATAAGACAAAAGTGTAGATTCGCTCGAAGAGGGCGATCAGATAACGATTTGTTCGGCCAGCGTGGATGCACGTAGGCCATCATTGATTGAAAAAGATCGATATACATGTTCAGGTGCACTAGAATTTCGATCATTCCATCTTTTTCCCTAAGGCGTCCAACTAAACGTTGACTCGTACTACTGTGAGCTACTGGTAAAGTCCATTACACACCTGATTGATAGGCTAGTCTGGTTATTTGCAATATACACTAACAGTCAAAAATATGGGACTAGAGTTAACGATTCATGGAACAGTATGTCATTCTGTTACGATATAATAAAAGTTACAGAGTCAGTGAACGTACAAATTGTTTCCTATCAGTTATAGGAAATTCCGTTTATCAAATACTTTGTGGAATAATATTTTTCTCTTTTAAATTAATTATCCAACCTGGTTCCATACTTTTGACCAGTAGTGTAAGTCCAGGATCAGTCATATAGTGTACGGTCAGGAAGTTTTCAAGCGTATACCAAGCTTAAGGAGTCTTCCAGGCGTGGTCTGGCGAATGGTCCCACCTCTGAAACTATAGTAAGTGAAGATATTCGTTTCTGTTCGCAGCGATTTCAGCAATCCCAAAAATAGTCTGCGAAACAATCCACGCCCTGGAGCTACACGATGAAACGCCCTCATGGAAGATCATGGACAATAAGGGACGGGTCACCGTGGTGCTGCACTGGGATCAACGTTCATCCACGTCGTCCCAGGTGCAGCAACAGCAGAAGGTGCCGGACGCCGCGAGCTCCAAGTATTCACCCACGAAGAAAGCGGACCTGAGCGGCTCGCAACGACCCTCATTGGTGATCCAGACCAGCCTGGACAAGCTCAACTACAGCGTGAAACCGGGACACCTGGCGGGGGAGATCGGGCCTGGCCGCTACACCAGCCCCCAAATCACTGTGATAAATCATGACGACATGGTACGCTAATCCTCCCCTCCACTTCCCCCCTGGCACTTTCCTCTCGGGTATTTTGATCATTCTGATTGACTGGCACGAGGTTTCCGGGTTTCGAGTCGTCACCGCCAGCCAGGGTCGTGTCCAGCCACTAGATGCTAGCTGTCAAAGGACACAGGTGGTCGTGGATCCCCCAAAATTAACTCTGATCTGGGTTAGGTGTTGTTTTTTTCTTGGGAAAAATCCTCGTGGATCCATAGGTCTCCTAGGTCTGGGTTAACTCTGACCTAAGATCTAAGATTAGCCCTGACCTCTCCTTTTTTTGGTTCGTTGTATCGATAACGACACATTTATTATCAGTAATATTTTTAGCTGCATTTAATTAGGAAACCATACCCAGGGAGAGAATATTAAATTACTATGACCTGTGATTAACCGGGAGGCCTAATTGGTACCGGTCGCTCCCCCTCCCCCACCCCCCTGTAGTAATTCCACAGTAGCAGAACCAGGGGGTGGGTACTGGGGGGTAGAGCAGTGGTTGGGCAACCTCGGAGATTGTCCAACCTCGAGGGATAAAGATAAGGTCTGGTTTATCTCTAGATCGAAATAACGCAGCATGCTATAAATCCAAAGTCCCTAAACAAACCAGTATAAAGATGGAACTAAACGACAAAAAAGGGCGCGTGACGACTCAGCAACCCCGGAAACCTTGGTGTGCATATCGAAATCTCGCGTTGTAGCCGTTTGATCAGAAAGCCATCGTTTAAAATGTCGTGGTGACGGACAGCAGCAGCAGCCTCCGCAGCAGCCGCAGTCCCATGGGATCCCGGGCCGTTTGGTGAAGCAGGGGACGAATTCGTTCGAGAGCACCACCATCCATATCCACACGCCCGAGTGTTCGAACCACATCCATCAGCCGGTGGTGAGGAACGGTAGCCCGGTGAACGGAGCGGACGGTGGTGCGAGCGGCGAGTGCGACTTCCATTGTTGCGCGTTGCACGAGGAGGGAAGGAGGATCGCTGTTCACAAATCGGTGGCCACCTCGCCGATCCAGGACGCCCAGCATCAGCAGTACCAACAACAGCAACAGCAGCAGCAACATCATCATCCCCATCAGCAGCAGCAACAGCAACAGACCCAGACCCCGTCGCCACAGCCGCCATCTTCGTTATCGGACGGTACAAGGCGGCCCGGATTGGTCAAGGGTCACGTGAGGTTCTGCGACACCGCGGACGAGGAGTCCAGTTCCCGTTTGGCTGGAAATTCAAGCGGAGGTGGCGGTGGCGGTAGCTTCCATATGCATCATCATCACAATCATCATCAGGAGCACGACAGCTCCGAGTCCGAAACTGAGAACACGATCATGGAGGACGAGATCGTCACCTCGGAGAAATTCCTGTTGCTGATCGATCAGCATTCGGTCGATCAGAAACACCTTAGCATCAAGGATATCGGTATCATACTGGAGAGACTGAGCTCGAAGATCGTGGACGTCGAACGATTGGATCGTGAGAGCGAGAGCGAGGAGTGTTACAACTGGACGATCAAGGCGATCATCAAGGGGGACGTGTTGAGGGAGCTCGGAGTGATTTACAATGGGAACTACTATGTCATCTCCGAGCATCCCGGTTATAAGGAGGAGTCCGAGGAGAATAACGAGGATAACGAGGAGGAGGAGGAGGATAGACTTTAATATGATGCTGTTTTACTAGATTCGGGGGTGGGATGTGGGTGGGGGCGTGTTTCGGGAACGATATTCGAGAGGGGGTACGCGAGATCCGAGTCTGGATGCCCGTTGGTGCGGCGAAACGTGATTTTTTTCAAAATGTTTTCATAATAAAACGCAAATCAGGACGCGTCGTGACGAGAGGAAAAAAAAACCGAGGAAAAAAAGAATACACACATACCCACACACACACACGCACGCGAACATACATACACATACACACACACACACAATGAAATCATACGATACCTTATAAACTTAGATCTAAAGACGGTTGTTGAAATATGTATTTATTAAATAGTATGTATACTTGTAGGAAACGTTTTTGGGATTACGGACATTGATTCCGTAACCGTCCACAACACTGCCCTATCTAAAAAAAAATGAAATTGAACAAAGAAGAGGACAGGTCAGAGAAAGAAAGAGAGAGAAGTTGATCGCGTGTTATTTCGGGACCGGGATGGATAATCCCCTCGATCGAGGGAGAATTGGGAACGCTTCCTTGGACGATGAACGCCTAGGCGTGGGACACAAGGGACGGCCGAGGCTGAACGAAGAGGAGGCGGAGCGAGAAACAGCCACTATTCGAATCATCGCCGACGTAAATTCTCCTATGATTCGTCGAAGATCGCGCGATCGTGGGATCGGGCATAGTCGTCTGGGAGAGATTCTCCATCGTGATCGTTCGTTCTTCGTGATACCGGCGACGCGAACGGAACGAACCAGCCCGATCCTCGTCGCACGATGAGTCACGCGTTACTGCCCCGGATGGCTCATCCGATCCCCTTTTTATATCCCTGTCAGCCAATCGAGGAGACCGATACTGAGCGCTGCTTTGTCGGTAATGTCGCGAGTTCAATTAATTTCGAGTCATAAATCAATACTGTACATTACAACATGACAACTTGTGAATTAATTAACGACCGAATTTACGGTACGGTAGAATATTTATATCTAAAGTCTAAAGGATGAAACAGATGGAAGAATGACAATCGCGTTCGATAATTTACCGACAGAGCCGCTCGGTTACCGATCCTCTTCGACCTGTTTATCGACCGATCGTCGTGGATTTTCGTGAATATGAGGGGTGATCTGCGTAAATATCAATGAAGTTAGACGATCCTGGGAATCGAGTGAGCCGTCCAAGGACAGAACCGACACACACGACACACTCGCATACATATATGAAGCATAGAGGATGAACGCAGTGCACGCGATAACGGTAACACAGGTGGCGCCGGTGGAGCTCGTACGGGATTTACAAGTTAGCGCGGGTCTACGCTGCGACAAGTGATATAACCTTGATTGACGCATACGTATATAAGGGGAATATAAATCGGGGGAAAGAGGCGGACGGACCGGCTGCGTCCGCGCGCGAAAAAAACTTTGCAATTTTAATATATTTCTATTGTAAGTATATTTGACACTGCGAGGACACGACGGGGAGAACCTATTCGATAACGTATGGTAGCGATATCCGAGACACGTCGTCGTGCGACCGAGAACACACTTTATACATAACGATATTAAATATACATATAAATATATATATATAAATATATACATAAAAAAAGTATAAACCACGCTCCATAGAGGACTCGGTGCTCGATAGACGAGAACCATAAAGGAGGAGGGGTGGGGGTGGGACAAATGGGGAGTTACCGATATTTCGGTTCGTTCCAGTCGGTAAAGAAGAAAACGGGGCGAAGAGGGGGGAGGGGTGATGTGAGTGGAAGACCGAGGCGTGAATTTATGAATTGGCCGGCTGTCTGATGCGTGTGAGACTGCACGAAGAGAGTCCGCTTATATTCTCCTGTTTGATAAGATACGAAAAAGAAAAAACACGAACGATCCTCCCTTCTTTGTTTCTCCACGAGTTTTTCCTTTTTCTAAGACGAACTTCGCGAAACCAGGCTAGAGTTCTTCCTCGACACCTACTTACCCGATGTACACTACAGTTCCCGGCGTCGAACAGACCCGTTTCCTCGTAAATCGTAGTGCCACTTGAAACGAATACAAAAAAGAACAAAAAAAATATACCGACGATGGGATAATCGAGACAACTGACTAATAAAATAAATAACGAGATAAATAAATAATAAATAAAAACAGGAATAAAAGGATTGTTATAAGTTGTAACTGTTGTTCTTTTGGTACATGCAGATATACTTGGACACCCATTATATACGGCCTCTGCCGATTTGTTTCTTTTCTCATTCACGCAGCCTTTTCCCATGATCCTTTTTCTTTTCTGTTGAGTGAACACACACCGAGCCATCGAATTCAGGAGAGGGAGGGGTGGGGGCAGAGAGTGAAATTCAGGAAAATCGCGACGTACAGGGCGTTTCAAGAACGGACTTGATAAATGCTTCTAGGATAAGTTAACACTACGTTGTTCCATTAATTTGATTTTATGTACACTCAGTGGACAGAGCACTCTTTTTCTTGAACGCCCTATACGTCGAGAAATTCACGATTTCCGATTAGACCGGAAGTGGGGGCAAGAAATGGGGGGCACTGAGACACAGAATAAGTAACCTCGCATTACGATTACCTCGGTGTATCTGCATGGCCGCGTTACGACGAGGGAGAGAGAAAGGGAGGGAGAGAAAGAGAAGTGTGTGAATGATTAACTCTGTATACACTGTTCGTCACTTAGCGTGTTCTAAATCCTATCGTTCCACGACAGATCTGGGCACAGAACTCGACAAAAAGTGATTTTTTTTCCTGGGGACCGTTCTTATGAATCACCCTGTATACACTTGGGCTCCAATCTCTGAAACTAATTGGATTATTTGAATAAAATTAGTTTATAAACAATGTCCAGGTCTGGTCTCGGAGATACACGAACACATGTAAAAATACACGAACACTTAACGAGGGAGAAAAACAGGGATCGTGATTTATCGAGCAATTATCGTATGTCTTCGGAACGATCATCTGAAATTGATTTTTAGTTGAACGATAACGACTCGAAAAATCCTGGTTTCATGAGTTTCAGAGACACTAGGAGCGAACAAACGGAAAAAATAAAACTAGAAAATTAAAAAAAAAATTACGAAGTGCGCGCGCACGCACGCGATCTTTTAGAACCGAGAGTCTTCCCTCGCGCGAGATAACACACGCGTGAAACCGAGAGACACGAGATTTACACGTATCGATGATAATACGAGAGAAATATAAATAATAATAATAATAATAATCACGATTTGCAATCCTACTGTGCACTGTCAGTGACGAAACATAATGAGAAAAAAAAATAATACGATGACATAGCCTGCGAGTTAAGGTTTTTTAAAAAAATGCATTACGAACGATGTACTGACTTTTTTAATGACGTTTTATCACGTTACGGAGTACTATATATATATAAATAAATATATATACATACGAAAGAAATATTAAACAAATATATATATATATACACACACAAATACAGATATAAATAAATGAGTATATACACGAACTACACTCACACAACATACACATACACCGATACCACCCGAGCGAATGTCTGATAACACACTATTTGATGAATGATACGCCAATAAAAGAAAGAATGTACATAATAAAGAAACATATATATACAATTCAACGTTTCTGAGAACCCACGATATCCGTAAGGGACGTAAAGAGACAACCGTTCCGTTCGAAGGCTCACGGTCGAATGGTTGACGTCATCGTGAGCAGATCTACTGCGCAGCCAGTCGGTCGATAAAGAAATCGACTGGACACGTCTCCGTCGGTAATATCGATACACGTGACCGGTCAGCAATGTCGCGACACATCGGGAGCACAATTCATACCGATTTCTCGAAAATAAAATCTTATATTAACAAAAAATCATCTCACGTCTTCTTTTAAATCCCATCTGTATACCTTAAATAAAGGTACTGAAACATTACTACGAGTTATATCTTAATTATTCTTCTAGAAATTACGGAAATTTTTCTGTTGTTTTTACACCGTTCTGTAATCAATTTTACCAAACGAACTGTTTTTTCGGACGATTTAGAATTCAGTGTTCTACTTGGAATCTTCGATCCCCCCGGGCGAGCTTTCATTAAAATTGAAATCCCCTCGTTCATCAACGCGAGATAAATTCTATTCCGGCTGATACCGTTTCTCCTCCTTATCTTTCCGCGGACAATTTTCTCCGGCTTTTAATCGCCGCGGCCGGATGAAGAAGAAATTAAGAATGGCCGTCGACGGGACTCGAAAGTTATTAGCAAAAAGCTCGCCTACTTATCCCGAAGTCCAGCCCCCTCCATCATCCTCCACCGCCCAACAAGAAAAATATTTTTATCTGCACGCCTCGCGGCCCGTGAAATACGGAAAGCAAAAGGTATAATCTCGCAACAGGCGACGGGGGTGGTCGTATTGATCCACGGTGGTCCATAGCAACGTGCTTTCTCTTTCTTCGGCTACATCGTTTTGTTTATCGGGCCGATAACACGATTGCATTTTGCAACTCTTTTTTTTTCGCTCCTTTATAAATTGAGGAATCTCGTTCGTCGATTCGAAGGGTGGAAATTGAAAACAGGGATAAGTACACGATTCATTTGGTCCCCGAATGAGGAGCGTTGGCTTCATTATTCAATCAGCATTTCGCTTATTTTTCAGTTAACTACCCTTTTAATCAATGATTTGACTCGTCGAAGCGATTTAATAAAGGGTTGAAAATTCAAGGGATGAAATTTTTGAGCAAACAGGAGTATTATTTTTCGCTTGTCGAATTAGTATTCCCATTATTCTGGAATTTCCTATCCGTTTGATCGATTATTTTATTCGTTGAAGCTTTCGATACAGAGGATTAAAATCCAAAGGGGTGATTTTTTATAATAAATACTAGAATCGTTTAATTTCTCACAATTTCCCTATTATTTACAATCTTCTTTCACCAAATCGTATGATTTTTTAAAACTTCGTGATCCAAGGGGTGGAAATCCCAGAGGGTAAATTATTTT